TGCCCCCCAGCCAGCAGCACAGCAGCAACTATCACCAGGCACAGGGGGCCCACCTTCGCGTTCAAAGCTCCAACGCCACGCAGATCAACCCATTACCCTCGCAACGGACAGCACGTGAGATGTGCAGGCACCAAGTAGGAAGAAACATCGTTGAATGAAAGGCCCGAGGCGGAAAGCAATCGTTGTGGTCACCTTCACAATGTTTTGTTGGGCAGTTTGTCAGGGGCTGTTGTTTTACAAGGGGAGGGGACGCCAATATCGTGATAGCTTGATGGTCAGGAAGTTTTCGGTTTGGCCGGAGAGCAGATTGAGCGCGCGCGATGCCTTGGCTATCGCGCGCGACTTACCCCCATATCCCAGGAGCCACATGATTCAGAAGGTTCTCCATTGGGATGCCGAGCGCAGGAGTTGGCATGCTTGTGCGAGCACACGTGCCCACTACATGGTTGGGTGGGCATGGGGTCGCTACGATGTTTGGGGTGGTACAGACCAGGACTTCACCAGTGGTGAAGACATGGCCATGTTCTCTACATGTTCTCGTCGGTGCACATGGAGTCCGGATGCGACTATGTCGCCACCAACTTGAATCGCAGCTACAGGCTTGTGGAGTTTGCCAGGCACTTCGGTCCAACCTTCATCGTCGTTGGCGACTGGAATAAGGCGGTTTCGGACTTTGATTGCGCGTGTTGTCGACGCGTGGAAATTGTCTTGGAGAGCGCACGTGCAGGTTTGCAGCTGGGGACTACCCGATGTTAGACTACCGGCTCACATCGCAAGACGTTCGCGGAGCGCACTTGAGACCCCGCGCGTTGAACCATTTGGCCAGCGAAGCCTCGCGAGCCGGCGCGGTTCGATCACGATGCGCGCGCTCGGCGGCTTCGACAGCTTGCGACTCAAACTCATCGAGGTTCCCTGGGGGCGCCCCCCCTCGGGCGCCAGATGCCACCTGCTGAAGGCCCCCCTCCCCGCCAAAATTTTAATATCTGGACGTCGTTGAGGCAGATGCCACCCGATGCCCCCTAGGCAGCAAGGAGCATGCCCAGCAGAGCCCCCGCGCCCTCTACACCCTCGACGAACGCCGCATTTCGCGAGCCGACCAGCCTGAGGCGCGTCCTGGATCCGGGAGATGGCGCGCGATATGTTTGGGGGACTGTCTGAGGGCTTCGCAGACGCGCGCGTCGACGGGCGCGCGCCAGCGGGCCTCTTCGGCCCGGGCACGTGCAACAGGTCCGCACGCTAGCGGGCCACCTCTTCCTGGGCGCCGTCTGGCCACGCCTGCGCTGGGCGCAAGGTGCCATCACCTGATCGCCATGGCTGACCAGCAGGACCCCCGCGGCCAAGGGCCATCCGGCCAGCTATCACAAGTGGGAAAGATGAGCTCTCGTCTCGGGCCCAGCCCCCTTGATCTGGCCCGCTCGCATCCGGACATGGGGCGGGGGCAGCTGAAGCGCCGCGAAGTGCTCGAGGCGCGTCCTCGGGCCCTCGCCGACAGTTAGATGGTCACGTGGAATCGCATGTGGGGTGGTTCTTCAGTTTCGGCCGACGCCCCCCCCAGATGGCTGACTATCAGCAGCGCTTGGACGATGAGCCAGAACAGGGCGCGGGCGCGGTGCAGATGGACCATCGCGCCGGCTCTGCGGATGCCAGCATCATAGATGGTTTTGCCGCAGTGCCTGACGGCGCGCCGCCTGGTCCAACGGTCGATCAAGATCAGCCTGCTGCTCGACTATCAAGCTGGATGGCAGGCGTGGGTCGTGGTAGCTTTCCGCCCAGGGCGTGGTCTCAGATGTCGGGCGCGTCGGTGGCGACGGTGCGATGCGTAGTTTGGGCGCCGCCGCTCTATCCTCAGTCCGCGCCATGCCGCTGGCCATGCCTCAAGGGGGGCGCCGCCCGATCGTGATATTGCCATCGCCGCGCGGGGCTGGCGCCAAAATGGCCCGCCACGCGCGCCGCTGGGCCGCTGAGAGTGCCTGGCCTTCCTGGGGGCTCGGAGATGGCGCGGGGGCCATCACGGGCGCGGCCGCGCAAGGCCGACAGCGGCCCCCGCGGCGCCTGTGAATTTCAGGGAAATGTTTTGACCATTTGTGGGGATCGAGCGCTGCGAGCGGCGGCCATGCTGATTTCCCGACCCCGATCCTCTGGCTTTGTCCGGCGATGCACTGCGCTGTTGGGCGTCTTGAGGTGGGGCAGTCATACTCCCACGCGGTTTCAGTCCAGCGTGGGGTTCTTTCGGGGTGCACGGTGGCGATCTGCTTCGATCAGATGCCGATGGCAGTTCCGCTTGACGTTTTCGAGAAGTGTTGTGATGCGGACGCGTCGCGCCATCCCTGGAAACATGTGCGGATGGCAGCTCGCTGCAAGTTGTTGCCCCAAGCCAAGAAACATCGTGGGCAACGGTTTGCATCGTGGAGAGTCTGGCAGCCGCGTCTCGAGTAATGCCCCCCCCCCCCCCCCCCATTGCCGCGGACATCAAAGCTCATGTCATCGACGGCTCGAGCGGCACGTCAGGTGGCGGGATAGCTGCAATGTCGTGGCGTCCGCGAGTGCAGTGTCTGAGGTTTCTCGGGAATGGAGTTTCGAGGGCGCGGCCGCCTTCGTCGCGCCGCCGCGATGAGAAATTCTGAAAGTTGTGGTCAAGCAACCACCGCGTTCCAAGGGCCTCGCAGCCATGGCTCGGATTGGCCCGGCGGCTCAGCCATCGATGGGCCGGCGTTCTTTGCGCGGGGCGTACGTCGCCGGGGCCCCTTGGCCCCCCGCTCTCCATGGCCGAGCTGGCTCGCGGCGGCTAGGGCAGATGGCCGCCGGGCACGTCGCCGTGGCTGGCAGCGCATTTAGAGCTTCGCAGGGGCCGGCAGCCTGAGCGCACAGATGTTGCAGGGCCGTTGTGCTCATGAGCGCAGATTGCCATCGGCCCGGCCATGCCTGACATCGGCATGCAGAAGACCCCCGAGCATTGGGGTCCTCACCTCAGCGGAGGGGGGCCATTGGTCCTGCTGGGGCGACATGGAGTTTCTGGCAGCAGCTGAAGTGGAGAGTGCGAGCGTCGTGCCGCTTGAGCAGCACCGCGAAGAACATTCCCCTTAACTTGTCGGATGGATCCTCCCGATTGTTTTCGCTCGCTGGAATAGGGGGTGCTCAACGGTGCAAAATGAGAAGCGCGGGCGCGGCGGGGGGGGGGGGGCCCGCTGGCCCCCCCTTCCGGACTGCGTGGCGCGCGCGGGGGCTGGCGCCATAGCAAGTGCGCTTCGCCCAAGAATGGCAAGTTCCACATTGAAATTCTCGGCCCGAGCTCGAGCAGCGCTGCGCAGCGCCATCAGCGGGGCTCAGTGGTCGCAGGCCCACCTGCGCATGCTCGGCTACGCAGGCGCCGGCGATTTCCTCCACTGCGCAGGCCTGCGCCTCGCCTGTACGGCAACGACGGCGACCCTGCCATTAACGGCTTCATCGGCGAGCGCAGTGCCGACCGCGCGACGAGAAGGTCAGATCAGGCTACGCGTCGCTGGACAAGATGCAGTGGACAGACGGAAAACTCCACGCCGCAAGCTCTGGGCGCGTCCGCGCCAGGGGGCCCACAGCGCGCCGGCCGTGGACCAGCGCGTCATTGGCCGGGCCCGGAAGGGCGTGCTCGTGAACATGCTGCGCGCATATGTCGAGAGATTACTTCCGCTGCCCAGGCGACCACGAGTGAGTCCTGGCACTGCGCGCGCAGAGGTCAGCACGAGTAGCTACCAGGCGATATCTACACGGATGGAGCTGGTCGCGCCCGCGCTGGCTGGCCCAAGGGTGCCGCTGCAGGGCGGGCTATTGCCGTGATGAATGCACAGCATTTTCGTGGATTGGCAGTCGGACCACCGACCTAGCGCTCAACTCTCGGTGCTCAGAGCCGAGATGCACGCAGTGATCGCGACATTGAGGAATGGCCCCCAACCTCGCAACGCACGATATCTCTCCGGGACGAGGCGGCAGCGCAGGGGCCTGCCCGAGAAGAATCGTCAGATCGCATGCTGGATCGCCAACATCCAGGAGCTAGTCGAAGGGCGACCCGACCGTGTTAAGCCAGCGGCGCGCAAGTCGCGGCGCGGCCAGCGCCGGCGCCATGGAGAACGAGCTGCCCGCCGTGCTCACGCTGCGCGGCCATGCGCGCTGTGGCGGGACCCAGGGTGCCATGTTCTTGCGCGCGTTGATTGTGGATGGAAACGCACTCATTGTCCGCAATGTGTGCATTCCGCCAAAGGGCAGGATGAGCAAGCATGTTTGCACGGTTAACGTAGTTTTGTAACCGCTCAGGCCCCGCCAGCCCCATTGAAAGTCGCAGGGGCCCCATGGAGGCCAGGGGCTCCAAACGGCCAAAGGGCTACATGACTTGGATACGAGCCAGGCCAGTTCGGCCCGACCCTGGGTGGAGCCCGTTTGCTCCTCCTCCTCCTCCTCCTCCTCCTCCTCCTCCTCCTCCTCCTCCTCCTCCTCCTCCTCCTCCTCCTCTTACTCCTCCTCCTCCTCCTCTTCCTCCTCCTCCTCCTCCTCCTCCCCCTCCTCGTCCTCCTCCTTCTACCCCTCCTCGGACCCCCTCTGCCCATGATGGCGCGCCGCCTCCCGTCCCCCCCCTTCTACCGGGGCCCTGTCCAGGTCCCCGAAGGAGTTGGCCGGGCCAGTCGTCAGGCGGGTGCAAGTTCGGGCCAGGTTCGAGCCACGCCCGCAAGGGGTGGTCCGCGGCGCTGCTAGGGAGTTGGGTCTCGCGGGGGTTGGCTCGGAGAAGCGCCCCCGTCTGATGGCTCTTAGCAGGGCCGCGGTTGTCCCTCCCAGTATAGCGCCCCCCCTCCCTGCAAGGGATCGCTCCCCCGAGGCAGCCAGGGGTCACATCCTCGCGGCCTGGGGTCTGAATCGCACTTCCCGCATCCCGCTCTTTCGCCCTGCGCGGGCGAAAGAGCCGAACGCGTGAAGTGCGGCTCGTTCTCCGAGAGAGGGTCGGTTTCAGTTGTTCTTGCAATGTGGTTCCCCTTGTTTGAAAGATAGCTTTCAGCGAAGGTGGCGCAGAGATAACTTCGCTCCAGGCCGCCGTCCTAGGAAGGGGCGCAAGCATCCCATCCCGCTGCCCCGCCACATTTTGGTCTCGGACCCCACGGCGCAGTGTTTGGGACTTTACATGTCAGTGTATGTACACTCGGTCGCGCTTCTCATGATGTTTGCCGTGCGTGTTCGGGTGTCTGATCGGTTCCCGCACGGGCGAAAACTGAGAACCCGTGAGTTTTGTCCGCGAAGGCAATTGACGGAGTCTGTGCTGTTGTCCGCGCAGGCAAATGGCGGGAACCTTTGTTATTTGGACCGTGTGTGTGTGTGGTTAGGGTCCGAGCTTGCCCTCGTGCTACGTGGCAGCATAGCACAATGATCATATCCCGCGTGTTTTTTTTCCGAGCCAGCAGCTATTATTCCAGACCTTGGTCAGTTCGTTTCTTTGCCAGAGGCGAGAGTGTGCCCCGCAGCCGTGATGTTCTGCTGGGCTTGAGTCGGGCATGACCTCGATGTTTTGTGGGCGATTGTGTGTTCCGATGGTATCTTGCTTCTCCCACTTGTCCACCGTCCTGACTCGGCGCGCCGCTTCATGTGCTCGAAGCTCCTCTTCCTCCTGCTCCTCCTCCTCCTCCTCCGCCTCCTCCTATTTCTCCTCCTCTCACCCAGTCCTCTCTTTCGCCCGCCCACCCCGCGAGACAGGCGGCAACGTTCCCGCGCCTGCGGCCCCGCAAGGCGGCCGCCCCTCAGGACCCGCCCCCACACGCGGCGCGGGGGCGGCCGAGGGGGAGAAGGAAGGACGACGACCAGAGAAGGAGGGAAGGATGAGGAGGAGGTGGAGGAGGACACCAGGAGGAGGACACCAGGAGGAAGAGGAGGAGGAGGACGAGGAGGAGGAGGAGGAGGAGGAGGAATAGAAGGAGCAGGGGCGGGTGAGGGGTAAAGGGGGGGAGGGGGAGTGCGGGAGGGAGGGGGGGAGCAAGAGAATGTGAAAGGGGAGGGGAGGGGAGGGGAGGGGGTGACAAGGAGGTTTCCGCAAAAGGCGGATCGTTGCCCATACACTCTCTGAGTCCGGCCCACTTAGGCCGCCCCCTCCTCCCTCCTCTCCCGATGGCGATGCTGACGACGACGCAAGCAGGCGGAGGAGGAGGAGGAGGCGGAGCTCTTTTGCCTCAGGGCGCCTGGCAGCCCCTGCCACGGCGCGAGCTCTCGGCCCCGCGCACTGCCGCGGCCGCAAGTCCTCCCTCGATCTCTGGCGCTTCCGCCACACGCCGCGGGCCGCGAGGCCCCCCTCCGGGGCTCCCGCCCGCTCTGGAGGGGGGGCCTGGTCCTGCCACTTCCCAGCACTCCTTTGGCAGCCTCAGTGTCGCGCCTCCGGCACGCGCTGCTGCTGCCGGCTCCTGGCCGCGAAGGTCCTTCTCATGCCCGACCGGGCCGTTGCCTCCTCAAGCCACGCGAGGCTCCTCCCCAGCGCTACAGCCCCTGGCCTATACAGTCTTACTTGCTGCCCATTCGCATTGAGCCTCAGAAGCTCATCTGCCGCGGCCCGCCACGCCCCTTCCTCACACCATGGTCAGGTCCGCGGCTGCCATGCTGCTGGCCACTCCCCGCGCCATGTCCCTTGCCTCCCAGAGCTACCCCTGGAATGCGTCGCTGTTCCAGCGCGCCCACCTCTGCACCAGCGCTGTGTCCTTGAACGCTGCGTACAGCGCCACCGATCCTCAGGCTGTGGGAGCCGAGGCCGTTCCTGTCGACTCCCTCCGCCACGGCCGCCTGCATCACCCACTGGACGTCCGCCCGCGTGACCAGCTTCTCATCGCCTAAGGCGAACGGCGGGTCGTGCACCCTCGTGCTTGTGAACCTGTCCTTCGCTCAGCCCTCGTAGATGGCCAGGGACTCCACACCTCAGAGGTGGGCCTCCGCCTCCTCGCCTGCCACTGCCTCGACCTTCAAGTGTTTTTGCCACTTACCGCGATTGTACTGGTCCGTCTTGTTGGCCCAGATCTTGATGACCACCTCGTCTGCTCTAGACCAGATCCTGCATGGCTCGCCACTTGTCTTCGGCGTGACGTCCACACCTCGTACGCCCTTGCTGCCCGAGTAGCCTCTCTGGTCGCTGGACACGTACTCGCTGGCCCTCAGAAGGAATACATAACCCGTGGCCACAGATGCCCAGAGACCCGCTCATTACCGAGACCTGTCGGGATGCCGCTTCTTTTTGATCCACCGCATCATCCTCGGCGTGGCTGGTATCTTCTTGGGAGCACCGTCTCGCTGCCTGAGCCCGTCGATCGCCATCCAGAGTCTCCCTGCGCCCGCGGTCAGATCGCCCATGCCGAGGGCCAGGTGCTGAGCCCTGACTGCGCTGAGGTACTGCTTGGTCGTGCCCGCTTTCGTGTGCCCGCGCATCGACAGGTGCACGACAAACTCCAGCAACAGCTCCTCCACGTCCCCCCTAGTGGCTGGGGTGACCTCCCTAAGCAGACTGACCCCGCGCGCCCTGCAGAAAAAGGACCACCAGCGCCAGCCCAGGCTGTGCGACCTGATGGTGGAGCTCGCCAGCTTATCCGAGGTGAGCTCAAGCTTTGCTTTCTCGCAATCTTAGCGCGTCTTCAGATCCGTCAAGATCAGGTCGTCGGGATTCGCCTTATCTAGCACCGCCTCGGGCCCCAGCAAGTTCGGGGGCTGGTGGACCACTGGCTCCACGCTATTGCCCCTTCTTCTTCTGGGTGTTGGTGGCGCCCGCCTTCGTCTCCTCGGCCTCCCAGGCAGCATGGCCGCCATCGCCCAGTCCAGCCAGCCCGGCCTCTTGTCCGGGTAGCCCCAGATCTCCACCAGCTGGTCCAGCTGCACCTGCGCTTCTTCCTGTTCCAGGGAGCCGCTGCGCCTGCCGTCATTCCTGTCTTCCTAGCTAGCGAGCGCTGGCTCGACCGGATGCCGGCCAGCACCGCGTCGGCGTTCCTTGCTCGACGCGTCTCCTTCGGGTAGCGGGCGACCGCTTCTGGGTCGATGGGGCCTGCATCCTCCGATCCGAGCGGGCTCGCCCCGCCTCTGCTGTCCTCGACGGTCCTAGCGATCACCTCTTCCAAATTGCGCGTCCCTCTGGTGGTGAGCTTCCTCACTCTCAAGCCTGCGATCGCGCTCCTCCAGGGCCGCCGCCCTCGCAGGTTCCTCCCTCGCCGCTCTTGCGGGACACGCTGGCAAGGGCTCACGGCCCCTCGGCTTCTCCTCTGCGTCCTGCAGGCCCGCGCTTCCTGCCTCGGAGGAAGTTGCACCGCCCTTGCCCTCGTCCTCGAGCGTCGGCGCACGGTGCGGGAGGCCGCTGACGGCTCTCTCTGCCCATGCCGCTGCCGGGGAGAGGCCGCCGGCCGCCGTCCCTCGGCTAGGGCGTGGTGGCGCTTCGCGCGCTGAGCGCATGCGAGGGCCCTCCTTGGGACGGGCCGCGCGCCCTCCGTCATCCAGGGCCCCCGGCGGCTCCATGCCCTGACCTGATGCAGCGCCGCTGGCCGCCATGCGGCCGCCGTCGCTGCCTCGTCGCCGCCTGTCGCCGCTTATGTGAGTGACTTCGCATACCTTCACATTGGTTTGAATTGCCTCGCGCTGCTTCGCTTTGCTTCGCCTCACATTGCATTGGGCTGCATTGCGTTGTTTTGGTTTGGCTTGCTTTGCGTTGTTTTGCGTGGCTTTGCATGGCCGTCCGTTGATGTGTATTGTTCTGTGCTGCCTCGCCTTGCTTCTCATCATTGTTGTGTTGTTTTACATTGTTGCGCACTTCACTGCGTTGGTTGCTTTGCATTGCTTCGCATTGCTTTGCGCCGTTTCTCATTGCTGCGTGTTGCTTTGCGCCACAAAGTTTCTCTGTTCTACGAAAGAATTCGGATCAACCATCCCGCCGGGGCCTGGATCATCGATCTTTCCTGGGGATGTGCAATTTATGTATGATTATGCCCCACAGCTTGCTCTAACTGTAAATACATACCCCCCCAACCAGGCCAACATTCTACAACTCGTCCATTTCCAAGAGTCCTCTGCACAAAAATGAGACGACGTGCGCACGCGCGCGTCGTCGCGCGCGCGTGCCGAAGTCTTTTGAACTGTCTTACGAACACATGCTAACACACACGGCCGAGTGTTCAAAATCGAAACTCACGAGTGTTCAAAATCGAACTGCCCGAACACATGCAAACACACACGGCGTTGCACAATGACTTTGCAAAACGTGCGCTCGCCCTTTTAAGAATTCTGAAGGAACCGTTGGCTATTCAACACTTTCATCATATGCGACCGAACTGGCCCCTCGCGCGGGCATCTCAAAATCATCCGAACGCCCTTCCACGCGTGCTTTGGAGGGGAGGGGGGGCTCGTCCCTGTCAAAAGATACCATGTGGGCCAGTCGCGCCCGTCGGCCCCGCGCGCATGTAGCATTCCCTCCACACAACTGAATCACCGACGCGTATGAACAATCATCGTCATCGGCGTGATCAGCATGGGTGCCGTCATTGGCTTTGCCGTCGTCATCGTCATCGTCATCGTCGCCACCAGCATCGTTACAATGATCGTCGTGTCTGCGTTTGCCGACGTCGCCATGGTACCGCGCCCGCCCGAGCCGCCGACTCGCATTGAACTGCCCGCGCGTCACCGCGGCCTGCGAGACGCGTTTGGTTGTCCCCAGCCGCCACCGCGGCCGCGTCGGTCGCGCCAGACTAGCTGGCCGCTCTGCGCGCGAGCCTGCGCGTGCTAGCGCGGCCACACCATTGCGCCAGCCGGCGCCAAGCAATCATCGCAATCGCCGCCGCATGGGTCTTGCAAGCCACGCTGCTGGTGGGTGGGTGGGATGATTGCTCGAGCAGTGGGCTTGACAATTTCAAGTTCGGCAGTGCGAATTGGACCTCATATCTCGCGCCACCATTGATTGCACCACGTAGCAATGCATCGTTGTTTGGTATCCATGCTGGCTAACATGTTGATAGAAGCCGCCTTCGATCCTTGAAGCTGCTGCGAGCTTCTAAGACGGTTGTGTTCGACATTAGTGCGGTAGCCACAACAGGGACGCAGGAGGAGGATGTAGGAGGCAGGGGGGGAGTCTCCGCAACCACAACGAGAACATTCTTTAGGGCGACGACGACGAGTACTTGCGTGTTGATTGGGGATGTGGTCATACCGTCCGGAGTGCTTTGTTGTTTTGTGTGCGAGCAGACGTTGTGAGAGTTTCGAGGGGGGTCGGGGCAAGCAGAAGGAATGCTGGTTCATCGCCGGCCACAGGAGCCCCCAGCAGCTGGAGGCGCACACCCTGGGCCGGCGGGGACTGCCCCGACGGCGTGGCCGTCGCCGCACCAAGCGCTGCTGGCCTGCCGCCGCTGATGGCGTCGCCCCGCCCGGCTGGACACAACACGCCCGCGCTCGCGTTTTTGGGGGATTCACTAACCGACGGAGTGTTGTTCGGGCCATTTTCGGGCTCGGGGGCCCTCGCTGGGCCCCAAGGCCGTCATTCATCGGGTTGGGTTAAGCAGCCTGTCCAGGGGACAAGGTCCAGCGTTGCGCTACAAAAATCACGACGGTGAAGTTTGGGGCGTGCCCAGGGGGGCGTCGACGAGGGGGGTGAGGACTGGCGGGCCACAAATATCATGGCTGGGGCCATGTGACCATTGAGATGACATTGCCCAATGTTTTTTGTTTCCGTCCTTTGGCCCAGCCTCATGCGCGCGCATGCCTCAGGCCATGATGCGGTGACTCCCTCTCCTTGGCCCACCTATTCGGCGCACCCTACCCCAGTCGAGAACGGTCCTGAGCGAAACGATTCCTGGAGGTTTGTCGATGCTTTGGGGCTCCCCTGACCCCAGGCCCGGGGGAGGGTAAGAAACGGTCCGTTGTGAAAAGCAACCACGAGTTGTTCGCCGTCATGTTTTTTCCGTAACGTGGAAACTCCATGGTTTTGGGTATTTTGTTCAGGACTGGCTCCTCACCTCTAGCCTAGTTCTGACCGCCGCGGTGCCCAGAGAGGGCCCACCGAACCTGAAGATTACCAGAAACAGTCCGTCGTTTTCGCTGTTATGCCCAGGGGGGCCACCAGGCTCTGGGTCTGGCTTTGCCGCTCTGCGAACTGGCGGCGTCGGTCGTCGGTCGACCCCAGGTTTCCCATATTCAGGCAGTCGCGAAACTTCATGGTCAGCCCATCGGCCCACCAAGAAGTGGTATCATATGTTGTTGTGGTGTGTTGGACATGTGATCGAACGTGATGGTTGAGACTGTCTCGCTCGGATAGACCAGCTTCACGTTATAACAACATCGCTGCAGTTCCCAGAGCATTCAAGCCGCGGGGGGCCGGGACGGTCGCTCCTCGTTCATGGGACATTGCGCCGGGACGGGGCCTTGTTCCAGCTACGGAACGGGACGGGACGGTCAGTTCTTCGTTCAAGCAAATGAACATTCTAGATGCTTCGCGTGACCCCACCAGCCCTCGACTACGTGACAATGGTCATCGTTCCCCTCGACTGCGCGGATGTGGCTTTTGGGAACCTGGGCTCGACATACCTCGCCTTTTTGGCATTGCGCGCGAACCGGGTGCACCACCTGGTCTTCTTTGATGGCATTGGCTTTCCACGTGGGCCTGATCCTCAGCGTCCTCTTCGCCGACTGAGTCGCAGCGCAGTTCGCTCCTGCGCGCTTGGTACCTAATTTAGATCGTAGCGCTGTTGTTTCGCTCTTGGCGACGCGCGGTTGTGCCGTGTTGTTCGCGGATCAAAACGGGACCCCGCCAGTCCATCCAGAAACGATGTCCAGGCGAGCTGTTTTGATCAGGGATGTGGGGGAGAACGCCGTGGAAGAAGGGGGAGAAGAAGCCGCCATACCCCAAGAGAGGGGGGGATGGAGGAGGAAACTGAGGGGGGGGAAGAGGGGGGCGGGGGGGACAGAGGTTGGACGAGGAGGAAGAATACGCATATCAGGAAGATGAGGAGGAGGAGGGGGAGGAGGAGGAGGAGGAGGAGGAGGAGGAGGAGGAGGAGGAGGAGGAGGAGGAGGAAGAGGAAGAGGAGGAGGAGCAGGAGGAGGAGGAGGAGGAGGAGGAAGAGGAACATGAGGAAAAAGAGCAGGATGGCGAGCAGAAAGGCCAGAGGCCTCTTGCATGCCTTTCGGGATATCCTCGGGTGTCTTTTGCGAGTTTCTTTGCGTCCGCTTGGGGCGTTTCGGGGGCCTCGTGGCGGTCTTGGGGGCCCCGGGCGTTGTGGGTGTTTTTTTTTTGGGGGGGGGGCGCCTCTTAGGGGTTTCCTGGGAGCCTGTTGGGGGTCTCTTGGGGGCCTCTTGGGGCCCCGACGGCGGCGGCTTCGGCGTTGGCGGCGGCCCTGGCGGCGGGGCGGCGGCGACTCGGCGGCGTGCCGCGCGGCGCCGGCGGCGGGGCAGCGGCTCTGGGGTCGACGCGGCGGTACCGCGCGTGGCGAAGAGGCGTCGGCCTCAACGGCGGGACGGCGATGACGCGTGTGGTCACCTCGACGCCCCCCCTTTGCCCTCCGCCAGGCCCTTCTCTGGTTGTGCTGGGTTCAGCGTGGCAGACGGTCGCCCCTACAGTGCTTTTGTCGGTGGGGTGAGCCCTCGTTCCTCCGGCCTCTTCCCCTCGCTGCCACTGATCGGGCGGGACACCTCTTGAGCCTCTTGCTGGAGCTGACTGTAACGCTCGTTGCCTGCACGCTCGCAGCCGTCATCCAGCGGCGGAGTCAAGTTTTTCCTTTTCTTCCCAGTGGTCAGAACATAAGCATACTGCTGCTGTGCATTTGGCGCGGAACCTTGGGGACCATGTTCGAGCCATTTAGGAGGAGATCGATCAAAGAATGGTGGCGGTAGTGAATGGGGTCGTCCTCAGGAGGCCAAAATGGGACCGACACCTTAGCACAATCAGTATTCGTTTGCCTTCTCGCCGGGGCCTTCTTGGACGCTCCGCGACCCCCCCGCCCAGGTCCTGGATTGTGCTAGGGGGAGGGGTCAAGGCACCTTCCCCGCCCGCAAGCAGTTTCGGTCATTCCCGCGCACCCTGCCAGCACACGAGTCGCACCCGAGCCTCAGCATGTCCAGCGCGCGCGCGACGTTGTCGCGAGGTGCGCCACGGTGCCAGGCGCGCCGCGTACGCCAGAAGCGCCAGGCACCCCCGTGGAACCCAAGTATGCCAGGCACGCCTGGCGCGCGGGGTGCCCCGCGTGCTCCGCGTGTGCCACATGTGCCGCGTGGCTCAGCCGTGCCAGGTGCGCCGCGACAAGGGCACGCATCCGTGGGTTTCCTGGGAGCCTCTTGGGTCGGAAGGCTGGAATTTTCGGTTCGCGTTCCCTATTGTGGGCCCCTTTTGGAGTGGAGCCGTATTTGGGTCCCCCTGGGCCGTTTTGGGCGCCTCTCGGGCTGCCTCGGGGTTCTCTTCGGCCGTTTTGGAACCCTTTTGAATTTTTTGGGGGCCGTATCGGGGCGGTTTCGGGGGCCTCTCGGTCCGTTTGGGTGCGCCGGGAAGTGGAAAACGCGAAAACGCCCAAATCCTTGAAACACCAACGGAAAATCCATCATTTTGGCATCCTGGGGCCCTCTTTGGAGGCGTTTTGGATGCTTGTTGGAGCGTCCCGGAAGCCATGGGGGCCGTGTTGAGGCCACCTACAGCCTCTTGGAGCGATCGTTCGGCGATTCGGGGCCTTCTTGGGCTGTCTTGGGGACGTTCCGTGGGGCCCTCTGGGCGCGTCTTGGGGCGCCCTTGAGCCCCGCGCGTTTCGGCCGAAGGGCCCTGAGGCTTAGAGGGGAAGTGAATAGACCTCAGGACGCGCCCACCCCGCGCCCAGAGGCACGGCGGCGGATCGTAAGCAATCTCAGGCTATCATGTACCATCGTAGAGACCATCGTGGGTTATCTGGGGCCATTCGAGAGCCGTCTAGGCCAACTTGGGCCCTGAGACACCTCGCGAAACCCTCGGCCCAGGCACAGGGGGGGGGTCCCCCTGACGCGGTGGGCGAGCTCCTCCTGTCAGCGCGTGGCGAGGACATTGGCGGGCCCGATTTTCCAAGACACCCCCAAGACGTTCGAAGCCGACTACAGAAGACCTGACAAAACGACTCGAGGCAAAACAAAACGAGACGAGACGAGACGAGACGAGAAACTACACGCCAAACCAGCCTCCAAGCCGGCCGTTGGCTTTTCTGGTTCAAGCAACCCACGGTGGCTCAAGCAACCCGCGGCTCGAAAGCCGCCCTCGAGGGCCTGTTCGCTTCGGTTTCGGCCTCCGCGCAGTCGTTGCCGATGGCGCGCGAAAGGGTGTATGTTCCGTTTGTCTTCCAGGTTTTCGGACAGATGCGGGCATTGTGCCGCTGGTTTTTGGGCATCCAGGTCCAGGCGGCCAGCGGCCCCACGCCTGGTTGTCTTCCTGTTTTTTTTTTTTGCTTTTGGCAGCGCGACCACGGGCGGACTGCAGCAGTCCTGCATGGCCACGGCGAAGACCGTCCGCTCTTTGGAGAAGATGACGTTGCTCAACTTGTGCGTGCGTGGGAGGGGGGGTCACGGTGCTGACGATCCTGGTCTCCGAGATCCGCTCCATCGGGTGCAGGTGGTCCTGAGGCCAGAACTATTTCGTCGTGGAGACGACCGACAAGTTCTACGAGGATCGCCGCGCCTGCGCGGGGTGGCGCAAGTGCTGCGCGGGGAAGAGCTCGTGGATCGCGTGCGCCGAGAAGAACGCTGTCAATCAGGACCATGGCCTCGCTGGGGCGGGCGAGATTGTCGGCGTCCTTGCGGCCTGAGAGGAGGTGGGGGAATGTTCCGTAGCCAGCCTGGCCCAAGTAGGAATTGTCGACCCGCGGCTCCAATTTGAGTGCAGCCGAGGGGCTGGCGCAGCCCCCCTTGCTGACATGGGGCCGCAGCGCGCCCCTCGCACGCCTTCCTAGTCTGTCTGCCTCTCCGACCGATCGGGCGCTCGCCGCTTGCCCGGCAAACCCGGCGAGCGCAGCCGCGGCGCCTGGCGCGGCCGCCCCCGCCAGCGCGATCCCGCGCTGCCCCGGCGGCGGCTGCGACGGGCGGCCTGGCGGCTGCGCCAGGCAAGGGCGATTCAGGGGCCCGCGACGAGGCCGCGCCGGAGGAAAAGAAGGAGGGCGCGGCGATCGACTACAATCTCGACGCCCTCGCGATGGCGGGCGCAGTTTGCCCCGCGCCCCCAACGCCGTCGCCGACGAGCACCCCTTCCTGGGACCTCCTTCGACACGGCGAGGCGGCGAAACATATGGCGACCGCGCTGGCACTGGCTGCGCCGCCCCTCAGGCCGCGGAAGGTTCGCCTCTGGCGTCTGGGGGGGGGCGCGGGCGCGACAATTCGAGCGATTGGCGCCGCTGCCCGCGGAGATCGCCCACCTGG